CTCAGCCTCCCGAGTAACTGGGATTACAGGCACCTGCCACCAAGCCCGGCTAATTTTTTGTATTTTTGGTAGAGATGGGGTTTCACCATTTTGGCCAGGCTGGTCTCGAACCCCTGACCTCAGGTGATCCACTTGCCTTAGCCTCCCAAAGTGCTGGGATTACAAGCCTAAGCCACTAGGCCTGGCCTATTATTCTTATTAGAATATAATGCTGCTGTGTCTCATTCCTCTTTCTGTATTCAGAAGGGGTCAAGAGTCATTCATTCACCCAGGAGGCAAACACCTGTGATCCAAGCTACTCAGGAAGCTAAGACAAGAGGTTCATTTGAGCCCAGGAATTTGAGGCTGCCGTGAGCTATGATCATGCCACTGTACTCCAGCCCGGGCAACAGAGCAAGACTGCGTCTCTAAAAAACAAAACAAACAAAAAAAAGACTAATTCATTCAATATTTCAATAAATATTGTTTAAGCATACATTATGTGACAGGTGCTGCACTAGATACTTCGAATGTCATGACATGGTATGCCACTTATTTTAGTGAAGGAAAGAAAGACTGAAAAACGAGCATGTAAATAATTAAGCGATATGTTCTCAATAAGTGCTCTGAAGTAAAGAAAATGGGTGCTGAGGTGGAGAAAGCCTGGGGGTGGTTAGGGGCCTGAAAGGTGAGAAGGAGCCAGCCAGGCTAAGATGGGTGGGGAAGAGCATTTTATTTACTTTTTTATTTGAGACAGGGTCTTGCTGTGTTGCCCAGGCTGGAGGGCAGTGGCACGATCATGGATCACTGTAGCCTCCACCTGCCAGGCTGAAGTGATCCTCCTGCCTCAGCATCCCAAGTAGCTGGGATTACAGGCGTGTGCCATTACACCTGGCTAATTTTTGTATTTTTAGTAGAGATGAGGTTTCACCATATTGGCCAGGCTGGTCTTGAACTCCTAACCTCAAGTGATCTGCCTGCCTCAGCCTCCCAAAGTGCTGGCATTACAGGCATGAGCCACCGCGCCCAGCCAAGGGAAGATAATTTTAAACAGCGGGACCAGTAAGCGCAAAGGCCCTGTGGCAGGAACAAATTTGACTGAGGTAAGATACAGAAAGTCCTGTGAGGCTATAGGGGGAGAGGCAGGAGACGAGGTAGGCGAGGTAGGCATGAGCTAGAGCCCATAGTACCTCCCAGACTACAGATTTCATGGATCTAAGTGAGACAGATAGAAAACCACTGCAGGGTTTTATGAGTGGAGGAGGATGATCTGATATATACAAAGTTTTTTTAGTAGAGACGGAGTTTCACTATGTTGGCCAGGCTGGTCTTGAATTCCTGGCCTTGTGATCCACCTGCTTTGACCTCCCAAAGTGCTGGAATTACAGGTGTGAGCCACCACGCCCAGCCTCTGACATGGTTTTAAAAGATCACTCTGGGCCACGTGCAGTGGCTCATGCCTGTTATCTCATACTTCGAGAAGTTAAGGCAGGAAAATTATTTGGGGCCAGAAGTTTGAGAAAAGCCTGGGCAATGTAGCAAGACCCCATCTCTACAAAAAAGAAAAAAAACATTGCTGGGTGTGGTGGTGCGTGCCTGTATTTCCAGCTACTCAGAGGGCTGAGGTGGGAGGATCACTTGACACCAGGAGCTCAAGGTTGCAGTGAGTCATGATCTCGCCACTGCACTCCAACCCTGGTGACAGAGAAATACCCTGTCACTGCCAAACAAACAAAATCCACCCTGTGCCTCCTGATCAGAGGCACTAAGAAGGACACAACATCACTTTTGTGGTTTTTCTACTCAAACGGCATCGCCTGTATCTAAGCATGAGGAATTATCAGAGAAATTCAAACGAAAGGACAGCCTACAAAATAACCGGCCTCTAAAATACTCTGCAAGGCCAGGCACAGCAGCTCACACCTATAATCCCAGCACTTTAGGGGGCCCAGGTGGGTGGATCCCCTGAGGTCAGGAGTTTGAGACCAGCCTGGCCAACATGGTGAAAACCCGTCTCTACAACAACCACAAAAATTAGCCAGGTGTGGTAGCAGGCACCTGTAATCCCAGCTACTCAGGAGGCTGAGGCAGAAGAATCAGTGAACCTGGGAGGCAGAGGTTGCAGTGAGCTGGGATCACGCCACTGCACTCCAGCCTGGCGACAGAGCAAGACTCTGTCTTGGGGAAAAAAAAAAATACTCAGCCGGACGCAGTGGCTCATGCCTGAATCCCAGCACTTTGGGAGGCCGAGGAGGGCAGATCATGAGGTCAAGAGATCGAGACAATCCTGACCAACATGGTACATGGTGAAACCCCGTCTCTACTAAAAATACAAACATTAGGTGGGCATGGGGGCGTGCGCCTGTAGTCCCAGCTACTCAGGAGGCTGAAGCAGGAGAATTGCCAAAACTCGGGAGGTGGAGACTGCAGTGAGCCAAGATCACGCCACTGCACTCCAGCCTGGCAACAGAGCAAGACTCCATCTCAAAAAAAAAACTCTGCAAAAGTGTCAAGGTCATGAAAGATAACGAAAAACTGAAGGACTTGCAGATGGAAAGAGACTAAGGAGGCTGACAAGCGAACATTCCATGCAGTCATGGACTGGATCCTAAACCAGACAAATGGCATCAGTGAGACAACTAACAGTTGAGGGTCGAGATGAGATAATCAAATTACAGCAATGTTAACTGCCTGATTTCGATAAGTGTACAGTGGTTATGTAACAGAGTGTCCTTGGTTTTAAGAAATACGTCGAAGGGCGTCTTGTTTGCTACTTACCTCAAACGTTTCAGAGAAAAAAAGTCATATATATACACACACCGAAATATATCTTTATAAAATCACATACAGGTATATAGGTGAGATCAGCTGGGGCAACATAGTGAGACCCCATTGCTACAATAAAATTAAAAAAAAAAAAATTAGCTGGGCCTGGTGGCACATGCCTATAGTCCCAGCTAGTTAGCAGGCTGAGGTGGGAGGATCACTTGAGGCCAGGAGTTCCAGGCTGCAGTGAGCTATGATTGGGCCACTACACTCCAGCCTGTGTGACAGAGACCCTGTCTCTAAAAAACACTAGAGACTAAGGAGGCCTGAGAAACAAGCTAAAAGCGTTACATGTAATCCTGGACTGGATTCTTATAGGGGAAAAACGCCAAAAGGTAGAAACACTGATGTTCTCATCACCCAGAATTGTACAAATGGTTAATATATTCTCACCTTGCTTTGATTACCCTTTTTAAAAAAAATTTTCTTTCTTGTTTTTTTTAGAGACATGGGTTTCGCCATGTTGCCCGGGCTGGTCCTAAACTCCTGGCTCAAGTGATCCATCTGCCTCGGCCTCCCAAAGTGCTGGGATTACAGGCGTGAGTCACCGCACCCAGCCTGATTACCATTTTAAAAAAAGAAATGGAACATTGCAGGTAAGGTTAAAGTCTTCTGTGACCTCTCTCCCCAGTTCCATCACACTCCTATGTATGGAGAGAGAGAAAGGGAGGAGAGGGAATGACAGAGACAAATGAAAAAGCAAGTAATGTTAAGATTTAGGGAAAACAGAGGGAAGGGTACGTTGAAATTCCTTGTACTATTTTTGCAACTTTTTGGTAGGTCTGCATATAGTTGGTAAGTCTGCGTATTTGGCTGCAATTTTTTAAACTACAGTTTAAGCACAGGTTTGCAATTCATGTTGGATGGCAAAGACAAGTTTAAGTATCTCTACAAACTGCAAAGCCATTGATAATCAGAGGAGTTTTTAGCAGAGAAAACAATACCTAAAACAATTTCAGGCCAGGCACGGTGGCTCACGCCTGTAATCCCAGCACTTTGGGAGGCCAAGACAGGTGGATCACGAGGTCAGGAGATCCAGACCATCCTGGCTAACACGGTGAAACCCTGTCTCTACTAAAAGTACAAAAAATTGGCCAGGCGCGGTGGCTCAAGCCTGTAATCCCAGCACTTTGGGAGGCCAAGACGGGTGGATCACAAGGTCAGGAGATCGAGACCATCCTGGCTAACACGGTGAAACCCCGTCTCTACTAAAAAATACAAAAAACTAGCCGGGGCAAGGTGGCGGGCGCCTGTAGTCCCAGCTACTCAGGAGGCTGAGGCAGGAGAATGGCGTGAACCCGGGCTGCGGAGCTTGCAGTGAGATGAGATTGCGCCACTGCACTCCAGCCTGGGCAACTCTGTCTCAAAAAAAAAAAAAAAAAAAAAAGAAAAAGAAAAAAAGAAGCAAAACACAACAATTTCAGTATATTTTCCTGTTTTCACTCTGCTCCTAAGGTGGTCTTTGTTTCTGAGATGGGTCTCACTATGTTGCCAAGGCTGGAGTGCAGTAGCTATTCACAAGTGGGATCATAGCTCACTACAGCCTTCTGACCTCAAGCAATCCTCCCCTCTCAGCCTCCATAGTCGCTGGGACAACAGGTGCGTGCCACCACATCCGGCAAGATGATCTTTAGAAAGTTCCGAGCTTGGGCTGGCTAATAACACTCACAGCTGAGATACCACGCCAGAGCCCCATTGAAAAGGCCAGGTGCTAGAACAACTAATACTCTCGGTTTGACATATTTCCACTTGGTATTTTTGTAGGGGAAAAAAATGCCAAAAGGTATAAACACGGGTGTTCCAATGCCCAGAACTGTATAGTAGTTAATATATTGTCACCTTTGCTTTGATTACCTTTTTTCTTTAAATTTTTCTAATTAATTAAAAAAAATTGTCATCCTTGGCTGGGTGCGGTGGCTCACGCCTGTAATCTCAGCACTTTGGGAGGCTGAGGCGGGCAGATCACCTGAGGTCAGGAGTTCGAGACAGGCCTAGCAAACATGGCGAAACCCCATCTCTACTAAAAATACAAAAATTGGCCGGGCGTGGTGTCGTGGGCGTGTAAACCCGGCTACTCAGGAGGCTGAGGCAGGAGAATCGCTTGAACCCGGGACACAGAGCTTGCAGTGAAATGAGATCACGGCACTGCACTCCAGCCTGGGCAACAAGAGTGAGACTGTCTCAAAAAAAAAAAAAAAGAAAGAAAAAAAGTAAAAGAAAAAATTGTCATCCTTGCGCAGGTGGCATGCTAATCTTCTCTGTATCATTCCAATTTTGGTATACGTGCTACCAAAGTGACCACTCGATTACCTATTCCAATATAATGAAACCCCGTCTCTAATAAAAATAAAAAAATAAAAATAAAAAAAATTAGCCGGCTGTGGTGGCGCATGCCTGTAATCCCAGCTACTCAACTAGCTGAGGCAGGAGAATCGCTTGAACCTGGGAGGCGGAAGTTGCAGTGAGCCGAGATCACACCACTGCACTCCAGCCTGAGCGACAGAGTGAGGCTCTGTCTCAAAAAAAAAAAAAAAAAGAAAGAAAGAAAAATAAAAAACAAAAGAAATAGAATATTGCAAGTAAAGTTAAAGTCTTCTTTGACTCCTCTTCTCAGTTCCATCACACTCCTTTCTACCCTTTCTTGAAGCAGTAACCATCAGGATATGGTATGTATATCCTTGCAATTAAAAAAAATACATATATCCAATAGCCAATATGCTTTTATGTTTTTGTAAAAAACGTACATAAATGACATTATACTATATATATAATCCCTCTAGATAAAGTTACATATAGCGTTAGGCTTTATGTAATAATTTTGGAAACAGGGTCTTACTCTGTCTCCTAGGCTGGGAACTCCTGGGTTTAAGGAATCCTCCTACCTCGGGCTCCCAAAGTGCTGGGATTACAGGTGGCCTAGACTTTATAAAGCTATTATCACCTCTTTCTTCTTTTCTCAACATTATCCTTTTGACGTCTATCTAAACCTGTGAAAACAGACGACCGTCAATCCTTTTAAATGTTATACAGCATTAAATGTTGTGCACATGTGTGAGGCGTGAGTTTAACTCTCGAGCCTCTCCCTAGAAATGGAAATCCAGGGTCACAAGCAATGGGCACTCCCGTTTTACTGTTAGATTCTGCTCTCCCGCGAGAGGTGCTTGGCGTTCCCCTGAGGGTTCTGGGGGAGCTCGGACTTGCGTTCCCAGCAGGCCGGTTCTCCCCCGCGTTGTGACCAATTTGCGTCACTGGGGTTCCCAGCGGACTCAAGTGTGCCCAGGACTGCAGGGAGGACTCCTCGGTTACCGGGACTCTTTCACCATGCTGGACTCTTCTAAGGCGCTTGACTGCGCTGATTTGAGCCTTTTTCCGTCTGCATGTCGGCAGGGGCGCCCAGGAAGTCGGGGTCGCTCTAGCTCAACCTTGTTTGGAGTCTTACAGCTTCAGGCCAACACGGGGCTGGGAAGCTGAGCACTTATTCCGTCCGCGTTCGTAACTAGGGCTGGAAGACGCGCCCAGACTGCAAACAAAATTTTATCATTTTGTTTGTAGGACGCAGCGGCCAAGGCTGCCAACCTATGAAACGCTTTGAGAAGCTGGGCGCTTTGGGAGGCCGAGGCGGGTGGATCCCCTGAAGCCAACCTGGGAGACATAGTAAGATCCTGTCCCTAAAAATTAAAAAAAAAAAAAAAAGAAAAAAAATTACCCCGGATGTGGTGCGCGCCTGTAGTCCCAGCTAATTGGGAGGCTGAGGCGGGAGGATCGTTCGAGCCTGGGAGTTCGAGACCAGCCTGGGCAAAATAGCGAGACTCTGTCTCTTTTTTTTTTTTTTTTTTTTTGAGACTGAGTCTGGCTCTGTCGCCCAGGCTGGAGTGCAGTGGCCGGATCTCTGCTCACTGCAAGCTCCGCCTCCCGGGTTTACGCCATTCTCCTGCCTCAGCCTCCCGAGTAGCTGGGACTACCGGCGCCCGCCACCTCGCCCGGCTAGTTTTTTGTATTTTTTAGTAGAGACGGGGTTTCACCGTGTTAGCCAGGATGGTCTTGATCTCCTGACCTCGTGATCCGCCCGTCTCGGCCTCCCAAAGTGCTGGGATTACAGGCGTGAGCCACCGCACCCGGCCGAGACTCTGTCTCTTAAAAAAAAATAAGTAGCCATTTTCCGGGGTGGGGGCATCCCTCTCTGGTTCCTCGCTCTCCAACTGGCCCTGGTCCTGGGGGCGTGAAGGCTGCGATCTGGAGAGACAGAGCCGCGGGCTGACTCTGGAGGCCCAGCCTAGGATCCCTTCATTCATTCATCCGTTCTGTCACTCACCCGTCCTGCGCGCACGCGAGCGCCATCCTAAGCCCCAGGACCCCAAGTACCCCAACCCCACGGGGCACAGACAAGGACTGGCTGGCCAGCGCCTGGAAGCCGCGTGCCTGACCGCGTCTGCCCAAGCGAGTACCGCCTCCCACCCAAGAGGTAGCACGGCCGCGACAGTCCGGCCGCGCCCAACGACTCCCGCCCAGGGGCGCGCCGCCTCCCTGTCAGCGCATGCGCGCCCCCGAGCCCGCCCTGGGCGCCGGCGCACGTGGCCCCCACGGGCCGGCATGCGTGCGCGCTCCCGGCTCGCTCTCCCACGCGGTCCATCGCGCCTCCCGCCCCACCCTAAGCGCAGCGCCGGCCTCAGCGGCCGACTGAACCAGGTTGCGTGCGTGCGCGCGCGCACGCGCGGGCCACGTGGGCGGGCGCCGTGCCGTTGCCCCGCCCCTTGTCAACCCCGCCCCCGTCGGCCCCGCCCCTGCCCGCGCGCCGGCGTCGGCTGCGTCTCCGGCGTTTGAATTGCGCTTCCGCCATCTTTCCAGCCTCAGTCGGACGGGCGCGGAGACGCTTCTGGAAGGTAGTGAGACGCGGCGGGCCGGGCGGGGGCAGGGCCGGGCGGGGACAGGGGCGGCGGCGGCGGGATAGGGGCCGGAGCCGGGGTCAGGGCCGGGGCAGGTGGCGGGCCTAGGGACAGCGGGCGGCTGTGAGTAGGTGGGTGGCGCGGGCCCGGCCGTGCCGGGGCAGGAGACGGGCATGGGGTCGGCGCCCGCCCCCGCGAACCCCCGTTTCATCCTCCGCTCTCATTCCCGTCCCGGTCTCAGTCCCGTCCCTATCCCGACTCCTCCGTCCGCCGTTCCCCGCGCCCCGCCGCCCCGGATGCCGGCCCCGCCCGCCGCCTTCCCGCTCCGAGGCCCGGCCGCCATGGCGCCGCGGGCGGGAGGCCTTTGTGGGGCGGGCACGTGGGGCGCTGGGGGCGCGGGAGCGGGGCCGCCATGGGCTGCGGGGCCGCGCGAGCGCTCGCCTCCGTCCTCTGCCTCCGCAGGAACGCCGCGATGGCTGCGCAGGGAGAGCCCCAGGTCCAGTTCAAAGTAGGTAACCCTGCGGGGCGGGAGGCGGCCGAGTCCGACCGCGTGCGACTCGCGGGTCCCTCCTCCCGGACCCACGATGGCTGTAACGGGGCCCCGCATCCATATTCTTTGTTTTAAGTGAGCCTGTGATGGTTAAAGTTCCATGACTCTGGGATCTTGAGAGGTGAAGTGTTTTGGGTTTACTTCCAAATGTGTTCTCCAACAGCTTGTATTGGTTGGTGATGGTGGTACTGGAAAAACGACCTTCGTGAAGCGTCATTTGACTGGTGAATTTGAGAAGAAGTATGTAGGTATGTGCAGGAAAACCTTGCTTGTGGAAATACGTGAGAAATGGGTAAATTCATCCACTCAATCATGTCGTTTCCGTTTTAGCCACCTTGGGTGTTGAGGTTCATCCCCTAGTGTTCCACACCAACAGAGGACCTATTAAATTCAATGTATGGGACACAGCCGGCCAGGAGAAATTCGGCGGACTGAGAGATGGCTATTATATCCAAGGTAGGCATTTGTAACTTGCTGAACAGTTTTTGAGAGGTTTTGTGTACTTCAGTTTTCAAGGTTATAGAAAATCAGGTCTGTTCCAACAAATAGTGCTTAATACTGTAATGGGAATTGTGTCATTTCTGGGTTAAAAAAAGACGTGGACTTCAGGGAGTTGACCACCATTTTGGTGGCAGAGGAGAAAATTTTATGAAAGTTGCATGCTGTGTCATGCTAGGCATGGTTTAGAAAAACCTATGACTTACGCTGGAACTTGTAAGTCATGTTTAAAACAATAACAGGCTGTTAACAGCAGTTTCAGTATTTGAAAACTTAGGTTCTTGTGTGTAGTTTGGTGTGGCGATCAATGAATATTTCTAGTCCATTACAAAGCAACACCAGATACTAGACCAGAGGAGATAGGAGGTCTTAACAAGTGTTATACAAGACTAGCCGATTTCTTGTTAAATTGTTTGTAGTAAGTTGTGCAGAGTATTTTTCTCAAATAGTTTGATTTAAAAATCTCAAGGAAAATGTTCATTGTACCAAAAAGAGAGGAATAAACAAAATACTCATCTCTCCTGGAACCTCACGTTGCTAATAACACATTATCTGGAATCATTCCATGCCTTTTGCTCTTCTTGAACGTGTACATATAAACACAAGAATTTCCCCCCAAAAAAATCCTTTAACCAAAAAGTTGTGGTTTCTTGCCTTACTAACTGTACCATAGTTATTCCTGCAGGTGAGTATATAGACTTTATCTGGGTTATTTAATTTTTTTTTTTTTTGAGACAGGGTCTTGTTTTGTTGCCCAACCTGGAGTGCAGCTTCCGCCTCCTAAGCCTCAGCCTCCTGAGTAGCTGGGAGTACAGGCACCTGCCACTTTGCCTGACTAATTTTTGTATTTTTTTTTGGTAGGGATGGGGATTCACCATGTTGCCCATGCTGGTCTGGAACTCATGAGCTCAGGTGATCCACCCACCTCAGCCTCTCAAAGTGCTGGGATTACAGGCATGAGCCACATCGCTTGGCCTATCTGGAGTTTTTAAGACAGGAATGATATTTCCTAGTATAGTCGGCCATTTAAAGACTTTCTGAAGACTATTTCCAGGCCCTACCCTCAGAATATGGCAGCTTGGTTCTCCAGAATCTCACTTGGCATTAATTACTTCAGATAGTGTTTTGGGGATGAGGGGAGTATTAATGGTGAAGTTTATCAGGGAGATTTGATAGAATCAGCTCATCTTTCTTAGGAAGAGTTCTGTGTTAATGTTCTTAGAATTGAAAGAGACTTTGAAAGTGAGGGGAGAGATCTAGGTGCCTCGTTGAGGTCTAAGACTATAGTTGAATCCTAGTCTGCGGTTCTTAGCATTCTTCACTTGTGTGGTAAACTGAGTGTACTAATTACCGCAACTGTTTCTTTCAGCC